CGGCATGTAGTCATGTTCTTACATGACACGCATGTCATGATTATGCTTGTACCAGTCATATACATTTGTCATTCATTCACGGCCCGTAATACTAAATTTGGTATATGAGAAGCTAGCGAAACGACCACGAGCGCACCATGATTTACATGACATGCACGTCATGATTTAGACGTTAGGGCCTGTCGCTTATGTTCACCATGCAGTCATGTCATACCATACCAGTTTTGCAATATGTCATGTGAACAAAATCACCACAAAAGCAACAAGATCATGATATGTAAATCATGATATTTATGACACGCATTTCATGATTTTATATTCTGACTAGTCACCTATGCTCGTCATACGCTCATGTTATCCCATACCAATTTTTGTATTAATATCATTATCGGAACGGTCAGGAGAGCTTAAAGTCGTAGGCGGCGGTATAGATAGATAGATAGATAGATAGATAGATAGATAGATAGATAGATAGATAGATAGATAGATAGATAGATAGATAGATAGATAGATAGATACGCTCAAAGTCGCCGAAGTTTGCTAAGAAATGCTTCACGTTTGAAGCAAAACGAAACACGTGGATGGTGACTGACAACTGATTATTTATGGGAAGAAACCAAAACTATATACACATGAACAAAAATAGTGCCAGCGTGAATGAAAATCAGATGACAGTTCCACCAAGTGACGTCAGGAAATGTCACCTTGTGTTCGAGTTTAGTTATTTTTTGTTTGCAAAGGTGTATTTTCTTGGCTTCTTTCAATAACTAATCAGTTGCCCGTCAGAGCACGTCTTCGTGTTGTCTCTTCTACGTTCAGTGTTTGCTTTGTTGATTCATTTTTTCTATCATCAGTGAAACTGTTTTCAGCAAACGAAAGTGAGGTGACTCGAAATGTTCAACAGTAACCTATTGCACACAATGCAACTAAATCGAAAATGTCTGTTCAAAAAGTCGCTTTTGAATTGAGCGTATGCTTCTTTAGAGTTTTACATTTGAACAGTGCGCACATTAGGCCGTGGCTTGCGTCGTCTTGTGTGGCTCACCGCATGCGCTTAGCGTTTTGTGCACGATATTAATCGGCATTTGCCGTCTGAGTGCTCCTTTCTTTATTTTAAACGGACCAGTCGAGAGTAGTAGGGTTTGCTCAATTTCCGGAGAGAAGAAGAGAATGCGATAGACGCCCCGCCGATGCCGGTCGCAAGCTACAATAACACTTTGCGCCTATAGCATCCCTTTATGGCAGCGCCTGTTGGAAATTCCCAGAGGAGATTCTTCACGTATCTAATTGGTTACCTGTGATGATGTATGCCCGCTTCCTGTATGGGTCTGCAGAAGACCTACAGTATATATTCCTAAATAATAATAATAATAATAATAATAATAATAATAATAATAATAATAATAATAATAATAATAATAATAATAATAATAATAATAATAATAATAATAATAATAATAATAATAATAGTAATAAATTTAGCGTGATAGCGTTAGAGAGCTCGTTTCGCAGAAATTCTCGTGACGGTGTTGCTGTCGTCACTTGTGAGCAAAAAATCTGCGTCATCCATGCGTAGAAAATAAAGAATCATGCCAATAAAATAAATATCAAATATATTTAGTTTGACTGAGAATCGAACGAAGAGAGAGAGAAAGAGAGAGAGAGAGAGAGAAATAAAGAGAAAAGGCAGGGTAGTTAAGGAAGCTTGGCTCGGTTGGCTGCCCAGCACTTGGGGTGGGGGAAAGCGTGAATAACAGATACGAAAGTGAGAGAAAAGGGGGAGAGTAAAAAAGAGATGGATACATAGTCAGCTCGAGACTACTCAGCACGGTTTCACGCTGTTCTTTCACAAGCGCTCGTGAAGTCCGGTGGTCCTTAAAAAGTACAAAAGAGCCTTCGTGGGTTTGCGCGTATGCGATATACCTTCAACCAAGGTCCCAGGATCTTTTCTGCAAGCGGTCGTCAATCCAGCCGATGGAGCTTGGCTTCCATAACACGTCGTTCACACTGGTATGCTCGACATTGGCACAAAATGTGCTTAAGCGTCTCCTCGAAGGCGCAAAGGTTGCATGCCGAACTGTTTGCCATTCCAAGGAGACAAGAATACGCATTTGTAAATGCCACGCCTAACCTCATGTGACACAGCGAAGTTTCAGCGCGTCGTGGGAGCCCGGTTGGCAAACGAAGTTACAAGTTTGGGTCGATCGAATAAAGGCGCGCGTTGGAGAAACCCTGCGTATTTCATTGTGGGAGAGTTATACGACGAGCAAGTGATTGTAGTCGCCTTGAAGCTTCCGTTCTCAAGAGTGGTATGGGCATACGCAGGTCTTGGTCACGAGCCGATCGAGCAGCCTCATCCACGCGGTCATTGCCGATAATTCCGCAATGACTAGGCATCCATTGAAATACAATATCGTGACCTTCCTCAAGTGCTTCGTGGTAGTCGGGCCTTATCTGATATACTGATTGTTCGTGTAATCCATGCAGTATAGTGAACCATAGTGTCCGTAAGGCTGGCCTCGAGTCGCAAAAGACGACCTATTGATTATGTTGCTGCTGAAGAATGTACTTGACCGCATAGAATGAAGAATGTACTTGACTTGACGTCGTGGTGTGAGAGATCCTATAGCAATACATTAACAGATCGAACAACCACTGCTCCTGTAGAGTTGTTGGAACTCGTAGAGCCATCAGTGTAAGCATGTATGCGGTCAAAGTATGTTCGTCTAACAGACGCAAAGTGAATTGCTTCAGGGCTAGCGGTAAAATGCGTGCCTTCTTATTGATTCCAGGAACCGATAAGCGCACGTCAGGTTAACGGAGACGCCATAACACAGATGCCGAACGCAGCACAAGTTTGAAGCCAGGCGGTAATAAGTCCTGGTGTTCTGTCACAGTACCGCAGAACGAAGCGCGGGGCCTCCGCGCTGTCAAGCATGCTATAGGACGTGACGGAAGCCGTGATAAATGCCGAGTGTGCGCTCTTAGCGTCTCGACAATGATATACGTTGTGACCGGCTTTTCTTGTGCGATAACAATAGTTGCAACTGTCGATGGGCATCTTGGAAGGCCAAGACATGTCCGAAGTGCTTATCCGCTGTAGTGCACGGATGTTAGAACCAAGGTCTCCGGCGCAGCGAGCAGGTGCTCTACCCCAGAGCCATGTCATTGTTCGTGAAAATTTAATGTAGTGGGCGGGGTCTTCTCATAACGTATGTAATATTGCGCAGAAGTGTAGAAATCGTGTGAGGTGTCAAAGCATGTGAATTGCAGATCGCCTCTTCTAGAGGAGGTGGGAATCTAGCTGTTCATTGTAATTCATTGGTACTATCGCCGAAGTTGTTCTTAAGCTTGAGTTCACGTTTTGAGCCCACGTTTTGTTTCACGTGAAGATCCCATTTCGATGTGAAATTCAACGAAACTAAATGAAAGTTTTAAGCTGCTGTCGGGTGATTGGGTGCGGCTACTCTTCAGAGACGCGTCTTTGCAAGGCACAGGATGAACCGTCTGTAAGCAGTGGTTCCCAACCATATATCCCATGTGGAGCGGTGAGGAAAATGTTCGCGTCCCGGCCTTCAAGTGCACTATTCGCCATACAAGGACGCAAGGCAACAGCAAACGAATACACAAATTTATTTTTTTTTCACTGCATCTGACAAACGAACACCTTGCCACCGCGGTGGTGTAGTGGCTGCTTACATGCAGGTCGCGGGATAGAATCCAGGCTGCGGCAGCTGCATTTTTCTATGGAGGCGAAAATGATGTAGGTCCGTGTGCTCAGATTTGGGTGCACGTTAAAGAACCCCAGGTGGTAGAAATTTCTTGAGTCCTCCACTACGGCGTCTTTCATAATCATATCGTGGTTTTGTGACATTAAACCCCACATATCAATCGATCAATTACAAATGAACAACACCGTTCGTCGATGGCTTGACTATTGGCACGCATAACCGCTTCCGCAGAAGGAATGTCAATACGAGCAAACGGAGAAGCGTCGAGCATGGCGAACGTGTCGACACGCGCGTTGTGTGTGACTCCAATGGCGCGGGTCCCAGAGCATTTCACGGTGACCGACGCACGTGCTTGATATGTCGAGAAACGAGGCGTCATGTATGTGATCTAGCCGCTACTTTTGTCTGCTGTTAGAGCTTGCAGAGGCAAAGGCAGTACGATGTCCATGGCCCCCATGACGTCCAACGGGGCCGCCATTGTGTCTATAATGCCAGCTTTAGATAGGAAAACTATTCACAGACGACTTTCAGATAGGTGCGTTGTACACGGAGGACAGTTGGGAGATTGTTATTCTTACGTCCAGTAACGTAACTATAATATTTCTTAGTGGGGGGGGGGGGATTGACTAAACCTTATGCTTGTGCAATAGTTTGTATGTATGCATGTAATACACACATGCAAAATCGAAAATTTTGTAGGGGAGAGAAAGAGCTGAATGACCCCCCCCCCATCCCACCTCGTCTATGCCAAGGCTTTATTCATATATCTAGATTTGACCACTTCAACTAGTGCAAAGACTAGTGAATAAACTGAATTGTTGAGATAGAAATGTGATTCTTGTGACAGTTTATGGTACTTCGTGAGCTTTACAGGAAGCGTGATTTCCTTCACCATGGCGTCACCAAAGAGTCCACAAACAAGACTATACGATCCTCTTTCCTACTCGCAGAATGTTCTTGAGGGCCTCTGCGACAGGACAATCCGCGTTCAAAAAAGTACTCTTCTTCTCCGAATCTAATAATCCTTAAATGGTGAACATTAAATGCCTTTGAACGTAATGGAAGCATTTTTGCTTTGAAAGTCGTTATGCTGGTGGATAAATATATGCCCGTAACTCTAAAAAAAATTCAAATTTTAGTCCATAGGAATGTATATCCTTTGTAAATATACTGCACAGAGTGGAGATCTGCGTACAAGTCAGAAGCGCCAGTTATTTGTGCGTATGCAAGATGCATTAAAGACGGCAGGCAACGATGAGCGATACTTACGATTTCCAATATTTCCGGATGGATTGACAGTGTCGCTGGCCCCTTCTACGTCGTTCCGCAGACGTTCGCTTACCCTCGCTCCGGTGACATGTTGGTCGGAAGTGTGTCCGGCCGATCTTCTCTGCTCATCTGCTACGAGAAAGTTTCGGAGCCAAATGAGTCGGTTTCCTCCGAAGTCATGCATAAACGCGAGATCACATTCCACACCACAGGCTGCACGGCGAGCGTAATGACTGTGCACGTCGTTATGAGCATCGAGAACTAAGGGGCGAAGTTAATAAGCCGTACGAGACATCACGGACAATTAGTCCATAGGCTAATTGCACGACGAAGGAGTGCGGTGAACAGATGATGGAAAGCCGTGTTTACGCACACTGTCTACCGGTTTTCACGACGCATAGCTGATCAGCTTTCGTGCGACATCGCTGGTGATGGACATACACTTGTAACCATTCTCTTGACTTGCCCTACTCCACACTGTGGGAGCCTGTCCATGCTGCCGTCCGGCGAAGCTCTCACGATTTATAACTTTGTTAGGCTGGACAATCAGCTGCGTGTCTGTGGAAGTAAAGGCTGGTAATAACGAAATACTACTATTTTTGTGCCGTAAAGGCGTTTGAGAATTGTGCACACCGGAGCGCATAGCATGACCACGGGAAAAAAGATGCTGCTTAAAGAAGCTGAAAAAAAATACGGCTCCCTTTCGGAAGAGGCACCGAAGTCACCGACTATTTTGCACAACTTCGGATATTTGTGATCACTTTGGCACAGCAACTGCGTTAACTGCGGATTCTTCACGAATTGGTAAGATAGAAAGACCATGTTAATCGAATGGTTGGCGCAGTTCCCAACTGTAGTCCAGTTTGGTGTGATTCGCAAGCACGGATAACACATGGTATTCATGATGTTAATAGAGGCTGTTAAAGTTCCATGGTGTTGAAGGTTCTTTTTTACGAAGTGTTATTGTCAATATTTTTAATTTCAAATGCGAAGCATTTCTTAGCGAACTTCGGCGACTTTGAGCGTATCTATCTATCTAGCCGATACATTTAGGTTCTCACGAGGGCACCCCCTTAATTTGGCGTGAACCAAAATTAGCATGGGAGGGTAAGATGGTTTAACGAATATAATGCTTCGGTCAAGACATGAATAATGTCACAATCCCGTCGCGTACGTCGTCAAACACTTTTCGCTAGACAGTGGCACATACCCACGGGAAGGTATGTGCCGCTGGTATGTGAGTATGTGCCACATGTGATTGACACTTAGTATCTACCCAGGAACGACGAGAACATACATGGGCAATTTTAACGCGCGAGCGTTAAGAAATACCGGACATTGGTAGCGTCTACCTGATGAATGCAAATAATAAATGTCAGAATCTCAGCTGGAATCGAACCCAAGCATTCTGCGTGGCAATAAAGCATTTTACCACAGAGCTACTTCAGGTCTCGCTATTCTTCGCGAAACGTCAGTAGTGGTTGCAGTGCTGCCTACCCAATTTTATAAACATTACATATCTACACCTTTGATACAGCCGTCACATCGGGTTAACGTTAATTGTGGTTGGTTGTCATGCGCTCAAGTTTGTTTATGTAGCAGTGTCCAGGGCCAGCATCCTCGCGAGCATCAGTGCTTCATATCAGCTTCTGGTGTTGCTAATACGCATGTCCCAATTGTCAACGTTGCGCAAGTGTAAACAACTGGTTACATAAACGTCTGCCACTCTTCAACATATATCTGTGCGTGCAACATTTGTACACATATTTAGCGTCATTTCATGACGTGTCACTTAATAAAAATTTGCAACATGGTCACCTTCCTTCTGCATGCTTCACACAACGTCGATTCTCAAGTACGTGGGATCTGCCAAATTTTCTTGAACAGACCATACTCCTCAAACAGAGAGAAATCAAGAAAGAAGTTTCATGAAATGCATCATCGACATAAGCGTTTTGTCTGGGCTTAGAAGAGGAATGGTTGCTGGCACATACAGCGCATATATGCCATTTGTACTGAATCCCGGTGTAAGTTTATCATCACAGAAAGCGGTGTTGGTGGATTAAAAACTAATAAATGCTCTAAAAGTAGCACAAGTGGCTTTTTAGTAGCGCTATCGTATCACGGTTGTCTACCTATAGTAGTGCCAGAGAGTGTTTGATTTGCCAGAGCGACAGTTATCCCACTTTTCGCAACGCCAATGAAGAAGAGAATCAACCGAAAGCTGGGCGGAGAAAATTTATCGGCAGAACTTGTGGATTACTCGAATTATTCATACAAGTGGGTTTGTCATTGAGGTGTTTTATGGCAGTAGTACAGGGGTCATGTTGGTTGAGCTATCATGGTAACGTACCTAATGTTATTGCTGCTACTTGTAAATACTTGTATTTTGAGTGACAGCAATGTTTCATCGGCAAACTAAGTTCAAGTGAAGTTACAGAGTTACAGAGACATCTCTTGAAGCTTTTTCAACAGCACGTTGAAAGCTACACTGGTGGAGGGGTGATAAAGGGGCAAGAAGCTAAGCCCATGAATGCGTTAGTACGTGGCATGATCTTGAACCTTCCCTTTTGTTTATTTTAAACGCGCAGCTGACTTTTCGTGTGATTACAATGGACTTTTTTTAGGTCTGACAAGTGTATGAAATGGAGATAGCCGAAATCAAAACTGTAGGTCAGTGGCCTCCGAAGTTGTCAGTAGAATATCTCGGGGGCCAGGTAATTCTCGTGATAATTTGCAAATGGTGCCACCCAGTGACCCCCCAAAAAACATGGCGTGCGTGACGTCATTGTCACTGCGCATGCACAGGCTAGTCTCCTGAAAAATGCCCATTGTGATCTGTGTAGCGCGGTGTTGGCACGTCGTGTAACACCACGGTGGCCGCTGTAACTATGCAGCTCACGACGCTAAAATCAGCCAGTGGCCACGTTCCTGTGCCTCGGGGTGGAGGACGCATTTGATTTTGGGTATTATAGCATTATTTTTGGAGAGAAGAGCTAATAATTTTTAGGCGACTTTCAAGTCAAATCGTTCACTGCATGGCGCGTGCTGCGCTCTAATGTTCGGCTCACATGTTGGCTGAAGCCTCGATTATCGATCGGTAGAATTTTGTTACCATGTTCAAAAAAGTGTTTAAAGTCCCTGACTTCGAACTTCGCGTCTGGAGTCTTTCCCGCCCCACAGTCTGTTTTTATAGAGGCATGTTCCACTTTCGTGTGGCACAACTATTGTAAATGAGGTATATATATATATATATATATATATATATATATATATATGTATATATAACAACTGTAACTTCGAAAACGTAAAACTGAACAAGTCGAAGTAGTTTCCCGCAATGATTTTCTACTGGTTACGGTGCCCTACTGCTGATCGACATGTCGCGGGATCAAATCTCGATCACGGCGGCCACATTTTCGACGGAATCAAAAAATGCTTGAGGTCTGTGTGCTTAGATTAAGGTGCCCGTTCAAGGACACCAGATAGTAGAAATTTCCGGAACCCTCCACTACGGCGTCTCTCATAATCTAATGGTGGTTTTGGGATCTTAAACTCCTGATATTATTATTCTTACCCAGCCGAATATTTAAACACGCGCCAACGTAAAAACTATCAGCCGTAAAAGAAAAAAAAAGCAGAGCTTGCACTATAGGTCGTGGAGGGCTTGATCACGGCAGAGTTGGTAGGCATCTAGGTGATCTTGGCTTGACTAGGCTTATACCCTCTCACCTGTCTCTTTCCCAATCTTTGCTATACTATACATGACTGTGCTTGCTGCCACCAATAAATTTTTTTTTTCGCCAAGACCATCACTCTCTATCTTTATCCTTCCTTCTTTCTTTTATACTTCCTTCTTTTATTCTTCTCCGTCTTTATACTTCTTTTTTCTTTTACTTGTTTGTCTATTTCTATCCATCTATCTCACCCTTAACTCACTTTCGCGCCAATCAGAATTATTGCATACCACGCCAGAGAAAAGGGCCGAGGTGTTCTAGGAGTGAAGTAGAAGGCAACGAAAAAGAGAGCGTATGGCGGTACACGATGATGACAATTCTCTTCCACACTCGGCCAACCTCCAGCATACCAGCTCTACTGCAGTGCCGTTGAAATATAAATACGTATATTGAATGTACTACACCTGTAGCTAGTATTGTCAGTAGCAAATGCTTCTTGGTGTCTTTTTTATAGTCTGTGATTTCGTCGCAATATATACGTTCTGTAAAAAAAGTGCTCTAAATGTTCCGTAACTGCCAATAGTTATTGTCTTTGTTTTGTCGGCCGAAGGCATGCCTGAGCACCAATTCTTCCTGAGTCTCGGGTAATGGTACATATGAGTGATGTGACGCAGTGATCATGTGCCATGATCTGGCCTCGTACTTACCCAAACACAGAGGCATAGTTTTCACATTCGCTTTGTGTAGGAGGAGGGAAATGGTTTAGGCTGTTGGTAGTCGAACTAACTGTGCACTGCGGGAGGCACAACACGCAATTCTGTCATTGTTGAGGTCAAAATTCGGGTGTATATTTACTCATGTGAGCGGTTTATAACATGTTCAGAAGAAAATACAGCTGGAATAGCCTCTTCGGCTATAATAGTGCCCGCGAAGGTATGGGCTTAGATGTGTGTGCAGCGGGGAGACGGGGCCGGTGTGACGGCATCGTTGCAACCCGCGAAAAGTTTGGGTGGCGGGCGTGCTTACCCAGGTGTTCACCTCCGAAACGTGTCATGCGCCATCCAGAGCATCATCATCGAAAAAGAAACCACTGATGCTGTCATCACGATTATGTCGCTTAACTTCATATGAAACTTGTCTTCATATTATTTGTGCAGAGGTGAGTGTACGATTGATGGCGGGTCTGAAAGTATTTTTCGGCTACTTACATAATTCAGAATTTCCCCCACTGGAACTGGTGCAACAGGCGATAAGCAGCGCTGCAAATGCAACGCGTCTGCTCATCTTAGCACTGAAGAACATTATTGCCTTTAAAACAACAACAATATTCGCACTCTGTATGCGACGCAACTCGCAGAACGCTCCTTTGTTGGGGTGTTTTTTGTTTCTCATTTTTCTGGCGTCTCAGCCCACTTGGAGCCTTTCTTGAGAATCCTATTCGTGCGAAGCCACATGTTAAACGTTGAGCAACGAGTTGAATTATAAAGCGTAATGACGTGCTTTGTTC